TTTTTTTTTTTGAGACAGAGTCTCATTATGTTGCCCTCTATAGAGTGCTGTAGTGTCACAGCTCACAGTAACCTCAAACTCTTGGGTTTAAGCAATTCTCTTGCCCCAGCCTCCCAAGTAGCTGGGACCATCACAGGCGCCCACCATTAACACCCAGCCATTTTTTTGCAGTTGTCATTGTTGCCTTGGCTGGCCCAGGCTGGGTTCGAACTGGCCAGCCTCAGTGTATGAGGCTGGCGCCCTACCCACTGGGCTACAAGCGCTGCCCTTATTTGAATCTTTTGTATAAGCTTACAGTTCTCTGCTGAAATTTTCTATCTTATTTAATTTCTTGAATATATGAATTATAATTTAGGTTTCTGGTAGTAACAAATATCTCACTCTGTGAGTCTGTTTTTGTTACTTATCTTTTGTTCCCTCTTGTTTATCAGTTTTTTTGTAAGTCTAGTCTGTGCTTTGGTTTTGGTATTTATTTATTTATTTTTAATTTTTTTTGAGACAGAGTCTTATTTTCTTGTCCCAGGTAGAGTACCATGGTGTCATAGGTCACAGCAACCTCAAATTCTTAGGCTCAAGTGATCCTTGCCTCAGCCTCCCAAGTAGCTGGGACTATAGGCACCCACCACAACACCAGGCTATTTTTTAGAGATGAATTCTCACTCTTACTCAGACTGTTCTCGAACTTGTGAGCTCAAGTGAGCCACTGTGCCGGGCCCTTATATTTTTGTTCTTTATTGAGTGATAGATGGTGTAGGTGAAGAGTTGTAGCAGTAGTTTGAGGTTCTAGATGAAGTTGTCTTGCTCTAACTGGGCTGTACTATTTCCTCTGGTGACTGTGAGGCTGGAATAAATAGATCACTATTATCCAACCAGGATGCAGTGCATGTGAGGCCTGGCCTATTTGCAGTTTCCTTTTCTTCTGATATGCACTCTTTTGGATATGAATCAAAAGTCCTGAAGTATTCATCCAAACCCCTTATTCTTAGTGGTCCCTGAACTTTAGTTGTTCTCTCTGTCATCATGAGACTCTTGATAACTTTGCTGTTCAGGGTCTCAGCCACAGCTTTTGATTTTGAAATCAGCTGTCACCTTGTAGGGGAAAGCTGCAAACTCTGGGCTCAGATACCTTGTTTTCTTCTCCTTTTGGATTTCAGGTACCTCTCTCAGCAACACCAAACTTTTACCATCTTGGTAGCATTCTACTTATAAAAAATTTGTAATGTATTTCATATTTTTTCTTTTGTAACCAGAGGAAAAATTGGTGTGAAACAATGCGGAAAACCATTGCCAAAGCAGAATTTCTTGATCTTCACACTTTTGATAAATTTAGCATTCGTTTCTGCTCGCTGTTAAACATTCTATATTGACACATACGCTTTCTCAAAATTCTTTTTGCTTCTACACTGTCTCTGTTAGTCTAAATAAATTTTCACAATCGTTGGTTTCCATTACATATAATTGAGATCTATAATTATTTAAATCTTTTTTTTTTTTTTTTGAGACAGAGTCTCACTTTGTCACCCCCAGTAGAGTGCTGTGGCATCACAGCTCAGAGCAACCTCAAACTCTCGGCCTCAAGTGATGCTCTTGCCTCAGCCTCCCAAGTGTAAATCCTTTAAAATCAATCACAAATCAGCATATAGATATTTTTAAAATCTTTTTAACATACTGTCTTTGTTTTTTTTGTTTGTTTTTGAGATAGGGTCTCACTCTGTTTCCCAGGCTAGAGTGGAATAGCATCATCATAGCTCACTGCAGTCTAAGACTCCTAGGCTCAAGTGATCCTCCTGCCTCAGCCTCCTGGAGTGCTAGGATTATAGGCATGAGCCCCTACGCCTGGCCTAATACTTTCTTTTTACTAAAGTTATTAGCATTAGCTTGATTGCCTGTCTTCTTCACTAGGCTTTACTACTTAAAACTAATGGTTATTGCCAAAAAAATTAAATCTTAGTCTTACATGATAACTCAATTATCGTAGCATTGGTAAGTATACTTAATGCATTGTAGACTTTGACATTTCTAAAATACAAAAACTTTAAATGTTTCAGGCAGTTATAGGGTAGTATATCAGTAGAAGACTACTCAAACATTTAAGAATTTTGTTTTTTGAATAAATATTATTATGCTAAATATATATTACTGCAATGAATAAAAACTCCCCAAGGAGACTAGTTTGATGTACTTACTGTATTTCATCAGTTTAAAGATACAAATTTTCCTCAGTTTTATAACCTTGAAATTGTGCTACCTCTTACGTAAAATGATGAGTAAGCATTGTGTCATTTATATAAACTTTTTCTTAATGTTATTTGATGTAATGGCATAAATTTTTATATTCTTACAGTCATCTCTTACATTTTGAGTCCCCTTTTGTTTTCAGTGGAGAAATGTCTTAATGTTATTCTAACACCCTGTGCTGCTCAGTGAGAAAAAATACTTTTTTAAAAAAAGCCTTCTTTAATGGTCATTTGCTCCAAAAGGCCAGCTTGGACTTCAGAGTAAGAATAGACTGTTATGGGCTGGGTGCCTGTGGCTCAAGCGGCTAAGGTGCCAGCCACATACACCTGAGCTAGTGGGTTTGAATCTAACCCAGGTCCGTCAAACACCAATGATGACTGCAACCAAAAAAAAAAAAAAGAAAGCTGGGCATTGTGGCAGGGGCCTGTAGTCCCAGCTACTAGGGAGGCAGAGGCAGAATCACTTGAACCCAGGAGTTGGAGGTTGCTGTGAGCTGTGATGCCACAGCACTCTACCCAGGGTGACAGCTTGAGTTTCTGTCTCAAAAAAGAATACTGTTATTGTTAAGATCTGGGCATATGTTTAAACCATAGATTCATTATGGGTCTGGGGGAAGTGTAGCCTGGAGAAAAGAAACTGCTGTAGCATCTTGTCATTATAGAAGAGATTCCAAGGTCTTTCTAAATATTTCAAACTTGCTGTTATGAGAATTAATGTTTTTCCCGTAAAGTGTGCTATGATACTGCATAGTGTACTTTATAGGGCTATTAAAATTAATGATATCACAAGAACAATTTATTATGTGCATCATTATTGTGATAATACATATAACATTGACTATGAACTAACTTTAGCCTTCACAGAGACAAATTTTGTGTGGCTTGTAGTGCTATGTTTAGAATGAGGTAGAAGGTTATAGTAGCACTCTCTAGGATAAGACAATTTATAGCTGTATGAAGTTGCAGGTCCAAGATAGTCATCTGGGACACAATTAGCACAGTTAACTTACTTCTACACTTAAACCTTGTATCATTTTCAAATTGGAAACATGTCTCATAGAAAATAATGTATACTGTACATTGTAGACCTTCAGATTCCCCAGCCTCTGATTCTTTTTTTTTTTTTTTTTTTTTTGAGATGGAGCCTCAAGCTATCCCCCTGGGTAGAGTGCCATGGCATCACGCTCACAGCAACCTCCAACTCCTGGGCTCAAGCGAGTCTCCT